CCCCCCCCCCCCCCCCCCCACTGTATTTGAAGTGAAATTACAGATAAGGAGTAGAGATTTTTAACTGTACATGTTCAGGCTTGTTTAACATAGAGCCACACAGACATTTCTGCCTTTCCTGAGCTGGGTTTTGTCACAGTAACCAACTCCTCGATTATTACGCTCATTAACATTTCATTGGATGATTCAAGAAGAGCTGCTCACAAATGATTAAGTCAAATTAAGGACTGAACTTACAGTGAGGAAGATGGCATCAATAGCCTCCTGCAGGGCCAGGACCACCTGAGGCTTCTTTTCCTTGAACTTCTCCAGAATAGTTGGAACCACCTAAAAACACAACAGATCTAATTTAGCACTTATCAAGGATTTGGGTACATGGAATAGAACTGTCATTTGTTCACATGACCAGTTAAATGGGCTGGTAACTGGAAAATAGTATGAACAGCCAATCTTAAATTCCCATGTAGTTTGTATATCCTGAATGGTATTGGTATTATCCAATATAAAGTTATCTAATGACTACACCCATTTCTCTCACACCCACATGAATGCAGCACCAGCATTCTGCTTTCTGTCAGTGTGTTTGAAAATGTTATGAAGTAACTTGTCTCTTGATTTTATACATACCCAAAAAAAAAAAAGAAAAAAAAAAAGAAAAAAAAAAAAAAAAAAAAAAAAAAAAAAAAAAAAAAAAAACTATAAAGAAAAAAACTCCACGTTAAAAACAAATATAAAGTTGTGAAGATGCCTGATAACCACTGTGGGCATTTTCTGTCAAATGACAAAAACAGCAATGCCAATGAGTTCATTGTTCCAATTAAACCCATTAGTTTCACTGGAATGAAAACAAACACTTTTAGGTGCCAATACAAACCTTTCCCTGGACATCTTGAGACAACAATTCACTGAGAAAACAAAAGATTGTCATAGCATAAAGAGATTACTTTACTTACTTGTCCTGCATACGTTCCAAACTTCTTCCTGAGACCAGAGGCCAGTGCAGCAAGACATTTAGCTGCCACTGACACCAGCATCACATTGGCATCTTTCCCCACAACCTGAAACATAAACCCAGTAAGTCTCGTTATGCTGTGCTCACACCAAATGCAACGCAAATTTGTTGCCTGACGAGGTTACATATGAAGTCAATACAAAGACGCGAATGGACATGAGCAGACGCAACATTGTGTCAAGAATGATGACGGGAAATTGGCGAGACGCTGTCAGCATTAAGATTCTCCTCCTGTCATCACTAATGTCGCTGAATCAGAAAATGGAGGAATAAAAATACTGTAGTCGAAGGTGTTCACCCAGAGCTCTAAGATACTTCATATTAGTAGAGACCAGACGAAACTATGTGTATAAATGCACGTGTATAAACCACATGGTAAACAATGAAAACAACGCTGCCGTATTTATGCCTAGATGACGTTATTTGCAGTGTTGATGGAGCTGCTACAATGTTAGCATAGCCTAGAATCAATCGATCCGAGCTCCAGTGAGAAAACAAGCATTTTAAAAGTAGTTTACTTGTGGAGAGAACTAAAAAAAAATAAATAAAAATAAAAACATTTGAGTACTACAGCTGTAGTACACAGCCGACATGCAACTTGCTAGATAGTGATTACACCACATCTGGGACTTCCACAACAAGTATTTAGCAGAAATAGTGGTCATTTCTTCCACAGTTGATGGCAGAAATAAATGGCTTAGTTGATAACGGTTTCCATGGAGATAAGCCACTCCTCTCCGGCTCATCTAACACGAATGACGCCAAAGAGCAAATAAACACAAATAAAATAAAACTGATATTCGTTTTCAGTCGTGCTAGTATGGACGGAGATCATTTCACAAATCATGCTGAAACGCCCGTGTGGACGGAGATAGTCCGTTAGCCCGGTATTAAACGAAAACGCAGTGGCGTGGATGTAGAATGAAAACGTCTTTACCTTCTTCAGAGCTCTGACAAGGTCTCCATAGTCTCCATTCTCTAGTTTGAGGTTCTTTGTCAGAGCCTCTACAGCCTCCAGAGCTTCTTTCCTCTCCTGCCACTTTTTAGCTTCCTGCAGTCACAGAGGAAGGACACACACTGAAACATGCTGACAGAAAGGATTAACTACAAAACAGTGTGTGTATGCATGTGTACACACACACACACACACACACACACACTTCAGATCCCCTTTAAATTTTTCACTCTTTGTTTCATTGCAGCCATTTGCTAAAATCAAAAAAGTTCATTTTATTTCTCATTAATGTACACTCAGCACCCCATCTTGACAGAAAAAAAACAAATGTAGAAATTTTTGCAAATTTATTAAAAAAGGAAAAACTGAAATATCACATGGTCATAAGTATTCAGACCCTTTGCTCAGTATTGAGTAGAAGCACCCTTTTGAGCTAGTACAGCCATGAGTCTTCTTGGGAATGATGCAACAACCTTTTCACACCTGGATTTGGGGATCCTCTGCCATTCTTCCTTGCAGATCCTCTCCAGTTCCGTCAGGTTGGATGGTGAATGTTGGTGGACAGCCATTTTCAGGTCTCTCCAGAGATGCTCAATTGGGTTTAGGTCAGGGCTCTGGCTGGGCCAGTCAAGAATGGTCACAGAGTTGTTCCGAAGCCACTGCTTTGTTATTTTAGCTGTGTGCTTAGGGTCATTGTCTTGTTGGAAGGTGAACCTTCGGCCCAGTCTGAGGTCCAGAGCACTCTGGAAGAGGTTTTCTTCCAGGATATCTCTGTACTTGGCCGCATTCATCTTGCCTTCAATTGCAACCAGTCGTCCTGTCCCTGCAGCTGAAAAACACCCCCATAGCATGATGCTGCCACCACCATGTTTCACTGTTGGGATTGTATTGGGCAGGTGATGAGCAGTGCCTGGTTTTCTCCACACATACCGCTTAGAATTAACGCCAAAAAGTTCAATCTTGGTCTCATCAGACCAGAGCATCTTATTTCTCATAGTCTGGGAGTCCTTCATGTGTTTTTTGGCAAACTCTATGCGGGCTTTCATATGTCTTGCACTGAGGAGAGGCTTCCGTCGGGCCACTCTGCCATAAAGCCCCGACTGGTGGAGGGCTGCAGTGATAGTTGACTTTGTGGAACTTTCTCCCATCTCCCTACTGCATCTCTGGAGCTCAGCCACAGTGATCTTTGGTTTCTTCTTTACCTCTCTCACCAAGGCTCTTCTTCCACGATTGCTCAGTTTGGCTGGACGGCCAGGTCTAGGAAGAGTTCTGGTCGTCCCAAACTTCTTCCATTTAAGGATTATGGAGGCCACTGTGCTCTTAGGAACCTTGAGTGTTGCAGAAATTCTTTTGTAACCTTGGCCAGATCTGTGCCTTGCCACAATTCTGTCTCTGAGCTCCTTGGGCAGTTCCTTCGACCTCATGATTCTCATTTGCTCTGACATGCACTGTGAGCTGTAAGGTCTTATATAGACAGGTGTGTGCGTTAATGAGAAATAAAATTAACTTTTTTGATTTTAGCAAATGGCTGCAATGAAACAAAGAGTGAAAAATTTAAAGGGGTCTGAATACTTTCCATACCCACTGTATATACATACATACATACATACATACATACACACATATACACATATATACAGACAGACAGACATATATACACACACACATATATATAGCACCATTATCATTTTAAATTTAAGAGTGTTTCAGTAGCAGGATCTTAATTCACCAAGGCTACGGCTTGGCCAGTTAACACAGACTTCATGCTTTGAAGGGATTTTTGAGTAATCTACATACTATTTTGTCATAGAAGTCTTTGGGTATCTTGGACAGAATCTCCACGGCTTCCAGCAGTTCATAAGGATCCACTGCTGCCACTGTTTCCGCCTCATCCTCTCCTGAAAGAGGAACAGAAAAAGAGATGGCAGCAGGCCGTCACTCTAGAACCCATCAACATCAAAGCACAAGTTTGTATGCAGAAATCTGTTAGCAGTTAGCTACCTTCTTAAACCTACCATCAGACGGTTCTCCTCCCTGGGCTTGTTGCTGTTCAAACTTTGCCTTCAGGTCCTGCTGTGAGCGCAGGAACCTGGTCTGTTTGGGAGGAGCTGAAGGCAGCTTCACCCACTCCTCCTCCAGCTCCTTCAGCTGCAGGGACAGAGAGCAGACAAGCATCGTTTAGTTTAACTTGATTTTCAAAGCTGAACAATAAAAGGTGGGCAAGTGTGTGCAATGATGAGTGTGTCCCACCTGTAGAGAGTTAATATTTTGCAGTGGTGGTCTCAGAGCATCTCGGATCCATTTGTAGATCTCTACAGCAAGCAGCTTGACTTCATCTCTCACCGCCTTCTCTCTGGACTCAAACTGCTTGGACAAAACCTTCACTACAGGCTTCAACGTCACTATCTTCGATCCAAACTCACTGGAGGAAGATGATGAGAGACCGAGAGGGGACAAATGGTTAGTGTCTTTGACAAGACAGTATATTAAGTTTAAACATACTTTACACACATGGAATATTGTTTTTAATTAAAAGGAATTAAGGAAAATAGTTTGTCTGAAAAATTTAAATGTTGTTACACCAGGACAGAACTGGACCATTGACAAGTATGTCAGTATGTTCCTTTCATATTACTTTACATCAACATCATAATATAGTCTGGTGCATCATTCAGTCATTTTTTAAAGGGAAAGTTTGCCAGCGTTAAATCATTATGTTTTCAGTGCCGATGGTAAATGTAGTCCACTGAAGCTATATTGACAGAGAAAGCTGACTTCTCCTGCTCATGCCTACATATACCAGGATGCATTGCACACGAGCAGCTTGTTAGTGGCTCTCACTCAAGTCTTCAAATATTGCCCTGCTGGTCTTGGTTGTGTTTTCCAGTTTCTTAGGGGTCCTGAAGACGGTCTCCAGCACACATATGTCCCAGTGAGGAGAACTTCCATGCACAGTAACGTACACAAGGACCGCTCGGTCCGGGTTCTCGTCTCAATGGCTTTCAATAAAAACGGCCCACGCTGACATTCATTAATGATCATCAGAAAAAAAAAAAAAAAAAAAAAAAAAACTCAAATCTACACGGTTAAAATTCTTATCCATAACACACTCTGCACTCATATTTTGGAATGCCATAATTGCTGTTGGAACCATAACAGAAGCAAAGAGAAAGAGGACATTTATGAATGGCTGCCAAAGCTGAAGTAGCACACCGTTATTATCAGTTATTAAAAAACAAATAATGAAAAATAAGTAATAACATCGGGGATGGTCGTTTTATCTGCATTACATTGCACGAACAACAGAGTGAAAATAAAGTACCATGATGCCTGTATAGATGAGAGAGACGGCTAGTAGGACTGTTAAATAAAGACACGTGTTCTACGTAGCAAAATCGTCTTCAATGCATTTAAGAAAGCAACACTGACCTGAGAGCCTTCCTGAGTGTCTCGATGCAGGCCACCACTATCTTGGGGTTCTTGTTGTCCAGGCCTTTGAGCAGCTCATCCTGAACCACCTCTGCCTTCTCTAGCTCCATGTACATCAGACAGATGTCTGTGCCTAGCTCCTTAGCGCGGGCCTTTGGCTGGTTGAACACTTTGGTAACCACGCCCGACACCACCTCCCCCGATGCCCTGAAACAGAGCACATTGATAAACTCAATGTCAGAACACACTGGACAAACTCTTACCAACAGGTTGCCTTACATCATACATATACAGTCAGGGCCAGAAGTATTTGGACTGTGACACAATTTCTCTAATTTTGCCTCTTTACACAACTCTAATGGATTTGACACTAATCAGTCAATATGTGTTTGAAGTGAAGACTTTCAGCTTT